GAGACAGAAAATGGAAAAACCGGGGCGGACAGGCTGGGGGGTGCAGGGGGGGTATTACTTCCCCTTTTGCATCGCATCTAATTGCGATCAAAGGCAGATGTCTGGGACTGTGACGGCATCAGCAGAATAGCTGCTGAGCGAACAGAATCTTCGGCTAAAAATAAGCAGTGCGTCCGGCACGCGGCTGTTTGCTGCGGCGCTAATCGATGCCGGAGGCTTTGGATTCCATCAATTTATGGATCCACTCTGTTCTGCCTGGTGACTGTGCCCCCCCTGCCCCATCGCCATGCACACTAATAATAATAAAAATACTTGCAGGTGGGCATGCGCACAGCCCTGGGCCAGGGGGCCAGCAGGGGGGCCATGCGATGCGAATCGGCCCCCACCGCTCATGAGCACCTTGTGATTAGGTCCGCCTTCCAGGGAGGGAGATCGATCAATAAATCAAACCTGCGCAATCGATGGGCCCCAGTCAGCCAGAGTCTAGTCTGGCCTGTGCATCATTACCCCCCCTCCCCCAGTCACTACAGCAACAAGAAGGGGAAAGGCAGCTCTATAAGGCTTTCGGCCTCAGAAACAGACACACACACACACACACACACACACACGTTTGTATTCATATCTTCGTGGGGACTCTCCATTCATTTCCATGGGAAAAACCCTAATCCCAACAATGATGACCTTAACCCCTACCCAGCCATAACGGTAACCATAAGTAACCAAACAAAATACAAGATTTTTAGGTTTTGATTGCAGTCACAGATTATTATAAAATTGAGTTTCCCCTTGTGAGGACCCAAAAACGGTCCTCACAACGTCAAAATAACAGGATTTTATCACATTGTGGGGACATTTGGTTCCTGCAATGTAATATACACATAACACATACACACACACAAACACACATTGTATAAACACACATAATTGCTCTCCTCTTAGGCCAGTATGGCTCATTAAATTGTAGTTGAGTATTAATTGTCACACAAATAATTGCAATTGACGATCAAATTAGTCTTAATGTTTTACCGCTATTATAGTTAAGGTCTTATTAATATGTTAATAAAATATTAAGAAGTTAATAAATTGACTTTAAGAAAGGACCATTTATTTACCAAAGAATTTAAGTGTCTGACATTAAGATTAATAAACAAAAAATTAGGAAGACATGGAATCATTAATGCTAAATAAACAGGAAGGAAGATGACAGAAAAGCAGCCGCAGCTGTGAGCAGGGTGCATCCTTGCAGTCTCAGGACTCTGTAGCTGCGCCTTTCAATCCCATCCATGTTCACACAGGTTTTCCGTTTTCCCCATGTTTTCCCCATGTTCACATGGGTTTTCACGTGTGCAGCTTGCATGTTCCCCCATGTTTACATGGGTTTTCACGTGTGCAGCTTGCATGTTCCCCCATGTTTACATGGGTTTTC